ATAAAAACGCAACTTCACAGATTACTGTACAAAAAAATCTTGAGAGCTTATCTTGTGGTTTTCAATGTCTGCCTCGCGATGCATAAGAAGGAATAAAATGCTATGTTATAATTGGCTGTATACTTTGTACATAGTAATGCATTTGTAAGAATGTACTCTGTGATTGTGGACAGCTTTTCTGAAAGACTGTTAAATAATTTTGAGGTATTTTCCTGTGTTACTGTCTTTTTATAATTACTAAGGAGCAGAAATTTCTCCAGTAAAACCAAACTTTTTCTGTGTTTTAAATTGGTTGTTTTATTTATTTTATCTTAAATTGACCTTTCATTGATCATAATACATAAATTTTAAATGCTTAAATATAACATACTTCTCATTATTTGGCATTACTGGGTCAACAGGAAGAAAAGGGGAAAAATTAATGCAATTAATGCATTGTAACAAAAAGTATGATCATTCTGGGCTGTAGTAGAGGATACATTTCTACATAAAATTAATTCATAGTAGTGCCTGGAAGTTTTTTGATGTTTCTTGTTGATGTTGCAGACTAAACCTTTCTGTTTGCATCCCACTGTATCTGTGGGGTGTGACTTGTCTCTAGAAAACCCTTGTTACTGTTTCCCAGTATATCCTACTTCTTCTGGCATCTAGCAGTTCTTATCTGCCCACAGATTGCAAAGGTAGGTCAGGCTCATTGGTCTGCATGTTCCAAATCATTCACAGGTTATGCACCAGCAATTCCTTGTTGGCACTGTTGTTGTGTAGTTCGTTAAATAGGTGTGCAGCCTTGGGATGTCTCTGGAGGCTCTGGTGTTTCAGAATAGTGGGTACAGGCAGCACCAGTGCTCACAAGGCAGCACCACCCCAGCAGCACTGGGAACAAGTCACTTCCCCTGAACTAGGCTGAATATAGTGCTCTGACCCAGGGACCCACACGTTAAGTCTAAAATGAAGGTTTACCAGAGACATAAGGCTGATGTTTGTGTAAGATGTGTAGTGATGGGTTTTTTTTCTCATAGGTATCAGTTCCTGTTTCCATGTAAAATTAGAGAGAATGAACCACATGCCTTTTTGGAGATATCTTCTGTGCTGCAAAATATATTTGGCACCTAATACTAGTATTAAGGCGAATTGCACATTTTTAATTAGAAAAGCATTCCATTGTGACTAAATTGCTGGCAGGAGCAGATGGCCAATGTGCAGCTGACCATGCAAGAGTTGGTCAGCTCTCCAAACCATAACATCTGGTTTGGAGTCAAAAATATTTCAAAGCCAAATAGTAACAATTTCATCTTTCAGCCACAAACAGTGTTGAACACTGGTTGTTGTTTGTATTATGTGTCGTTCAAGACACCAAAGCTAATGCAGCAACAGATTTGCTTAACCTTACCACATAGAATATAACTGAAAACTCCAGTACTCAATTATTGGCATAAAAGAAGTTTATTACTGTTGTTGTTACTAACTTACTCTGTTGTAGTTCTTCAGACCAAGCCACGCAGTATTTCAGTAGATTCTTATAATAATTAATTGTGTTACTGTTTTGTATAAGAAGTATTAAGGCCTTTAGCTGGCAGTCTCAGTATTCTTGGAGAGAGTATGGTTCTGTCTGTACCTCTGGAATGATATGCTAACTGAAAGTACATTAAAGTGCAATTTAATTTTTTTTTCCTGTCACCTGGTAAGAACTGCAATGTGTATGATGCATTTAGAGTGGAGCTGGAAAAAATATGAATTACTCAAATGAGCAGTTTATGCTTCTTAGTAATATGCAGTTGTACTGAAAAAGCTACTAGTATTTTTAAAAGTATTTACAAGCATGCTTAGGAAATGGCTCATCCTCTCATTTAAAAATAGAGAGTGCAAAACTTGTTTTATCTGCCCACCTCCAACTTTTGCAACCTTACTGCCTTTCAATTTTCAGAAACTTATTTGAACAAGAACTGTTTATTTTAGGTAGAACTTTAAATGTATTAATTTTTTCCCGTGTATTTCAGTTTCTGCTTTCATTTCCTTGAAATGCTGTTAGGTTGCTTTTGCTTCAGTTAGTACTGACTTTTTTTCTATGTTCCTATGCTAATACGGTGCATCAAATTCTCACAGATAAAATCTGATATAGCTATTCCATTACTTTAAAAATAATTAGATTTATAATAATTTGATAGAGCTGGAATTCAGGCTTCTGGAGAACATATGTTATGATACAACATTCAGTTGCTTGCATTTTATTTTATTTTTGTGTTTTCCATAAGACACCCGTGTCCTTCATTTAGGGAGTGAATGGTGCTTATTGAATTTGTAGATGTTCAGTGCTTTTTGTATGGAGTAAGTGCATGATGAAAATTTAAAGATAACCTTCTGAATCCAGCATTGCATATAGGCTTATTTTTCACTTGGAATGTTCAGTGAGGGTCCCATTGCCAAATCATAATACCTGTGAAAATACTATATGGTTTATACTTTCTGCAGATTTAGTACTGCATAACCTGAGACTGGAACACTGCCTGAAGTGAACAACAACATTGTGGCACTTCTATGCACAAAGACAGGAGTCAAGGGCTGTTTTGAGCATGGGATTTGACCTTGTGTTCTGCAAATACTTTAATAACCTGATCAAAAGTGTGATTTTTTTTTTTTTTTATAATACCTTTTTAACTACATTGTCTAGTTTCTGTAACCAAAACTAAGGCCTATTCATGCAAAATACTGCATATACATTTAAAAAAAAAAAACCAAAAACCCCTCAGTTTTCAAAGTATTTCTGGTATGAACAAGGGAGTTGAGCACTGGACACCATTTAAATGACAGGGAAACTAACCTTTGGGATCCAGTAGCGGAGACTGTATGTTGGTGACAGGAGGGAGGTGAAAGCTTTGTGGTCAGAAGTTACTGTTGCCATCACTGAAGACAATGAGAATATAAAAGGTTGAAACCTTGGTGAAGGGCATTGCAGCGATAGTTGTGATTCTGCTAACAGAATTGCATGTGGTTTTGTGTCATTTTTTGCAATGTATTGGAGGAGCTTTTTGAGTCTCTGAACCATGAAGCTCTTTCACAGTAGGAAAACGTATTTTTTCTAGGGAGGAAGAAAGCCAAAAGTCTACATGCTGCCTGCAGAGATATTAGCAGCATTAAGAACAGTTTCCAAAACCATGGAAGAGCTATTTTTCCCCCCTCTTTCATTAAATAATGCATACATATGTTAGAAAAATTGAATTACAATAATGTAAGTTGAACTAGGTTTTGTGACTTTTTTTTTTTAAATTATTTCCTTGCTATATAAAGATGAGTGAGGCTGTTTAGTTTTTTTCTTTCCATCTGATACTGTTTCAGAATTTTGTTTTTTTTTTTTTAATCTAAAGCCTGCCCTTTTAGGGTTTTTAGCACAGGTAACAGAATGGTGTGTGCTTGTTATTTCAGACAATAAAATTTAGAATACTGTGTCTGGACTCTTGTTTAAAAAAAACCCAAACAAACAAAAACCAAAACCCCCTATAAAAAAAAAACCCAAAAAAACGAAAACAGAGCTTGTTGTATTACATGTCCAAAATCTTGAATCTGCTTTTTCACTTACGAGAACTTTTGAGCTTTGTAACTTGCCTGAACACTTGACAGTAGACACTTTCACCAGTCCAGAACACACAGGCTCTGTGCTTGGTGCCAGGAGAGCAATTCTGGGCTGCCTTCATATTTCCTGGCCCTGAGGGCAAGTCAGCACAGTTTTCCTCTGTTACCTGGTTGAATGCTAACAGAGGACTTGTCCAGGTTCTGTCCTCACAAAAAAAACCCCACCAAACCCAAACAAACAAAAAAAACCCAGAACCCACACCAAACCTCAAAGGGCAGCTTTTTTCTAAATTCTCTGCTGCTTCTTTGTTGTCCATTTTTGTTGCTTCTTGTTCATTTTTAAGAGATACAAAATATACTAATCAGAAGACTTTTTTTTCCCTCTCCTCTGTTCAGATGTGTTTTATAGCTCTGCTGCCTGTAATGTATCTGGGAAATGTGGGGATTTGCTGGAGTTCTTGGAGCACAAAATATTGTATTAAAAAAACTTATTGCATGAATACTTTGTTCACTGATACATGTGTATGTATATGCATACACACATACCTATCCGTATCTCTATGTCTGTGAGAGTACTTCCTAGTTGAAAACCAAAAAATCGACCTACTATGTTGTGGTGCAATTGAAACATCCCATAGGATACATCTGGTTACTTTAAAACTTTCACTGAATGTTAGGCTGCTTTGCTGGTTTCACAGCCTTCTTGAGCTGCATAGCTCCGTGGGCTCCCCAAACTGCTGGCTGCCCTGCCAGCCACTTTTCTGTTCAGCTGGCTTATTAGCTGGAAAGCTGGTGAGCTTATGTAGTGAGGGACCTCAGACCTTAGGAGATCCACATACACGGGAAGCCTACTAGATAAGCTGTCAAAACTGAAATTGTATCTGGGCAACCATCAGGCCTATGAACCAGAACAACCAATTTTGGCATTTTAGATGTTTCTAAAATAAAATGTTTAATAATAGTTAGCATTTGGAAAGGAGGAATTTGAGATTTGGGTTTTGTTCCATTTTAATTTCATGTTGTAATATATACTCTGTGTGTGTTATTCTCTGACAGAAAACCTCTGTTTAAATTTCTTTTTAGGCTATGCTTTTAATTCTTTTAAATAATGTTTTATTTTTCAATGCGTTGAATGTGGTTTCTTCCCCAGTGGTATTTATGGCAACAACATGCATAAAAAGGCAAAATCTTAATCGGGAAAATTATAGGTTTAAAAAGTATAGAAAAACCATTCTACAAGGTATATAGGATTGTCATGACCAATACAGTATTTATGCAGTCACATTCATAATAATATTTGGTGTCTTATTTGTATCATGAAAACATGCCAGATTGTCAAAGTAACTTTCAGAGTGCCTAGGTGTTTTTTCTTACAATTTAACAGATTATCAGAATGCCTTTTTCTCTAACATAGTATTGTTTCACGTTTGTAGGTAATATATGCTTTGAACACTAAAAATGATGAACATGAAGCTGCCATCCAAGCCCTTAAGGATGCTCATGAAGAAGAAATTCAACAAATTCTTGCAGAGACCAGAGAGAAAATCTTGCAGTATAAAAGTAAAGTTGCGGAAGAAATGGATCTCAAGAGAAAGATCCAGGTTTTAGAAGAGTCACTGGAAGATCATAAAAAGATGAAACATCAGGCCTTGACAGAATTTGAAGCCTATAAGGACAGAGTTGAAGATATGCAGCTTTGTGCAGAAGCTCAGCATGTCCAACGTGTAGTGACCATGTCAAGAGAAGTAGAAGAGATCAGAAAGAAATTTGAGGAAAGGCTACGAAGTTTCATACAGTTGCAAGTGCAGTATGAGAAGGACAAGCGTACAGCTCTAGAAGACTTGAGAGCTGCCCACAGGCTTGAGATTCAAGAACTTCTGAAGACTCAACAGAGTCAGAATGCTACTTTAAGTAAGGGGCAAGAAAAGCTAGAGGAATTGCATAGACTGGAGCTGGAAGACTTGAACAATAAAGTGGAAGAGTTAAGGCTGGAAAGAAAAAAACTCATTGAGGACTATGAAGGCAAGCTCAGCAAAGCACAGTCCTTCTATGAACATGAACTTGATTCTTTGAAAAGATCTCAGCTTTTTACAGCAGAAAGTCTACATGCTTGCAAAGAAAAAGAGGTGGAGCTAAGAAAAGAATTTCAAAACCAGGAAAGTGTGTTACGGAAGAACCTGGGAAAGCTTAAAACTGAATTGCAAATGGTCCAGGATGAAGCTGGCAGTCTACGGGAAAAATGCCAAAAACTTCAGGTGGCTCTTGGTACAGCAGAAAACAATGTCCAGGTGAGACTGATGATATGTTATGCTCAAGACTGTGAATTTTCTTTTCCTATTTATGCTGTCTTTCCATGATGCTGGTAGGTTGAGGTGACTGGGACACGTAAACTTAATTTCTGTCACTTGTTCTTGATTATCATCTACTTCTAAATTTTCATATGCTTTTATATTTTAAAATCTATTTTATATGTTTAATTTTCCTCGACTGAATTGATACTACTTCATATTCTAGTAGAATCTAGAAGCCCCTATCCAGGGGAGAGATTTGGTCTCCTTCCTTTCAGCTGTTCGTGAACAGAACTTGGTTGTTCTAGTCATACTACCCAAAGTGTAGTATGCTCAATAGAATACTCAAAACTGTTACTATTTAAAGAACAGGAAAAAAAAAACCCCACCCAAACCAAACCCTGTTCCCCTCCCCCAAAAGAAAGAGAGAAAGGAAAAAAAAAGGCAAAAAGCTGAGCAATATCTTTGCATCAGGTCTCCACATAAATTGACTCCTCCCTCCCTCACAAAAAAAAGGATTCAGAGAGGGAAGGAGAAGGATGGTGACTGGTACCATTTGAGAAGTTAATGGTGAAAACTGAAATGCTTTCTAGAAAAGTTGAGAAACTGCTTGTCTAGACTGTAGAGTTTCTTGCAGAAATGTATTTGACAGGAATGTCATACAACTGACACTATAAATACAATTAATATTCTGTATTCGGTGCAGTCTCACTTGTAGAGATCATTAGTGACTACCTTGCCTAAACACGTTGGGTGTTAAGAAAAGTAGGTTTGTGGGAGGTAAGGAAAAAAGATGACTTTCTGAATTGTTTTAATTTTTTATTATAATATCTTCAATGATGTTTTTACAAGCAGTAGCTGAAATACTGCACACATTTTCAGTGTGGCTGTGATAGAGTTAATTTTCTTCATAGTATCTAGTATGGGGCTATGTTTTGGATTTGTGCTGAAAACAGTGTTGATAATTCAGGGATGTTTTTGTTACTGCTGAGCAGTGCTTACACAGAGTCAAGGCCTTTTCTGCTTCTCACACCGCCCCACCAGTGAGCAGGCTGGGGGTGCACAAGAAGCTGGGAGGGGACACAGCTGGGACAGTTGACCCCAACTGACCAAAGGGAGGTTCCACACCATATGACATCATGCTCAGCATATAAAGCAGGGGGGAAGAAGAAGGAAGGGGTGGACGTTTGGAGTGATGGCGTTTGTCTTCTCAAGTAACTGTTATGTGTGAAAGAGCCCTGCTTTCCTGGAGATGGATGAACACCTGCCTGCCAATGGGAAGGAGTGAATGAATTCCTTGTTTTGCTTTGCTTGCGTGCACAGCTTTTGCTTTACCTATTAATCTGTGTTTATCTCAGCCCACGTGTTTTCTCATTTTTACCCATCCCGCTGGGGGTGGGGAGTGAGCGAGCAGCTGTGTGGTGCTTAGCTGCTTACCAGGTTAAACCACAATACAGTGTTACTTAGATACTAAAGTTTCTTGTCCTTAAAGAAGGACAAGACATCCCAGAAATACAAAGACTGAATTTTTTTTGTTCAGCAAAAAATAGGACTGGGTATGCTGGACTTGAAGGAAAAGATTCTGTGAAATTCTGCTCGGGTTTTGGTAGCTGTGCTGAGGTCTGGATAACAGTAATCTCTGTGGGTAGTCTTAAGTATCTCATCTTTTGCATTTGTAGTTACAAATGTTTCAAGCTTCAAAGCCAGAAGTACTGTAAACGTGATGGTTCTAGTAATTTTGGAAGCATCACTGGATAGAGCTGAGATGGGCCTGAGATTTTCTCATTTACAATCTAATTCCAGCCCATCTTTTGGACTCTCCTTCCTTCTTGTGTAAAGGCTACAGGGTATAGTGAAAGAAGACTGCCACCTTTATCAGATGTTAAATTTGGAACACCTTCCAGTTTCCCAGGGGGCCTTTCAGAATTTCATTTCCAACTCTGTTCAGTTAATGAAGCAGAACTCTTGCCTTTCAATTGTCTTCACCAAGGAGATGGGTTTCTGGCAAGCTGCAGTGAAAAGGAAACCCACTGTATGTTGATCCTTCCTACAATAAAGGTGTTCGTCTTGGTTTCAAAGAGGAAGAGTCTAGTATGGTATTTGCAGCAGATTTTTAAGTCAGGTCCTGCTCTGATCATTATGGATGAGGTGACCAAAGGCATAATCTCACCACTTCTGGTGTCCATATTTCATTACATGTCCTGTCCAGTGTTTTCCCCAGTTCTGTTTCCTGCTTTAGTTTCTGAAATGACCCTGTGCTATTCCAGTGACTTCAATGATGAGAAATCTAGCTTTCCTTTTAAAACAGAACAAGATTTCCTTTTCCTTCCTGCGTGGCTGAGAACACATCATCATCACGCTACCCAAGATATGCTATTGTGAATCAGTACATCAGACTTAAAACATACTAAAAGTTTGATTTACCTAATTGCCTAACTCTTATTTTGTGTATATCCATGTGCAGCTTAATTTGTGTCAGTACTACACACTCACAGTTGCAATGAAGGACACTGTAAACTACTGTGAACGTATCATCTTGTAGTGCTTCAACAATATTTTTGGAAAAACACATAATGCAAAATGAATATGATGGTAATATTACAAGATTTCAGCTTTTGTATGAATAAAAATTATTTGCTGAGGGGTCTTTTCTGTACATTTTAACCTAATGCTCATTTAAATTTAAACATGATTGTATATAATGATAACAGGTGTTATACTGTTTTTCCTCTAGGTTCTTCAAAAACAGCTAGATGATGTGAAGGAGGAGGAGATGTCATTGTTAAGTAAACACAAAGAAGTGGAAAGTGAGCTAGCGGCTGCTAGAGAGCGCTTACAGCAGCAGGCCACTGATCTTGTTCTTAAAGCCAGTATGTATGTCAGTAATTTAATCTGGAAATGAACTTCATCTATTTATTCTAGCCTTTCCTTTTTCTGTTAAACTTGTGCAGGTTTAGAGTGCCTGAAGACTGTTCAATGCTGTCCATAGTTGTTTCTGACAAGTTTGGGGTTTTTTTAACTCTTTTGATATCACGTGCATTGTACTTAGAATTCTTTTTTTGTGTACTCATGTGTCCACATATTCTACTTTGTGTGGCACATACACATCTTCCAGATCTTGGAATTTCTTGCCTTAAGTGCACTTGTACAGAATGCTTCTGCTGTGTATCTGTTCGCCACACAATCACTGAGATGTGCTTCCTGTTTCTCCATCCTTTTTCAGTTGCCTTGTCTTTTTGCTGAGACTGTGGTACTTTGCTTTACACTACTGTCAGAAGACTTGCAGCTTATTGGTTAATAAATCTGTTAGGGTTTTCTTTATAGCTGTTTTCTTGACTTCTCTCTGCTCATTGGCATATGAAAAAGCATAGAAAATGTTTTAAGATCTGCTTGTACACATGCGGGTTTTAACTTACTGGTATTGTCTCTCTAGTAAACTGCTTAGTGGTAGGGCATGGGCCTGGGCTCAGGTGCTTGAATGTGATTAACTATACTATAGGTAGAATTGTAGGCTAAAAATGAGCCCCTGCCTTATCTTTGGCCTTGTTCAACGAGACCAATTGTAGAAATACCTGATTACTTTCCACACAAGTTAGCCCAAGCCCAGGGACCCTTCCCAAAAGTCGGTTTGGATAAGATCACCTCATTTTAAAGGCTGGGTTGTTGCCAGACTCTGCCAGTCAGCCTTAGGGACAGAAAATACTTCACAGCGTTAACTTGCTAATACTGTAATAGTTTACTATTTATATTATATACAATATATAATACTATATTTACTATTACTGTCACAGC